ACAAACATTTATCTAGTTGATTTTGATGCCACCTTTTCCTAAATGGTGACGCTTGGGTAAGTCGCTCTAATCTTCCCTCTTAACATACTTTATGCTACCACGCTAGGTATTGAGTTCTAGAGTTGGACGGGTATGCGCCATCTGGCGAGTTTTGGTTAGATGTGTGAATGGGGGCCTATAGTGGTCGAGGCGACCGAACCCTGCTATAGGTAGCCTTCCATATGAAACCCGGGATGAAACCTCGGTGTGGACGGTGGATAGTGTCCATTGAAATGAGCCATAAGCTTAATGCCCTAGATACGATAGCCTAGATCGAGGTGACTGGAAGTCTGGAACATGGGTTTAGGGGAGGCGTACTCGGAGGCGTGTGGATAACCACGAAAGCCTAGGGAAAAGTGCTCACTCACCACATTCGATTACCCTAAGTATCTAGATATGCATAGTAACCCTAAACTAGGGGTAGGGATAGTTCCCTGAAGTACATACTTTTAGCTTTGATCAATCTCTAGACTAGTGTTTCTTCATATCCTCCACTCAAAACCTCAAAAACCGATTAACTAATTAGCAACTAGGTGGGAAGTAGGCTAGGGTACCAGGACCCGAGTAGAATACAACCTTGATTACCACTATACGGCAATGTCATTCTAGGTTAAACTTGGCCTAGGATGGGATAGTTGTTGATACGTGCTAACCCCTAAAAATAACCTGCATGGATTCAAGTGATCAAGAATGCACCAGTTTAGAATAACAATGGAGAAAATGTAATTCCTCCTCCTGGTAATCTTGAAAACCTTATGTTGTTCCCAAAATCCCTTAGGTGATAGTAGGTATTTAAAGTATGATGTGTGGCCTCAGTTCACCAGACTGTTAATTAATGGGGTTTTGAAAGCAAAATGCAACTACGATAAGAAGATTTTGGATGGAAAGTCAAGTAATGGTATTTCTCATCTTAGGACTCATAGGAACCGTTGTGTTCATAAAAAATTCACGATGGTAGTCAAAAGGTCCTTGGGTCTGACTACAGTGCCAAGCGAACAACTGATATGAGTACCAATCAGTTTAGTAGCGAGGTTTCTAGAAAGGTTTGATCTTGGTGCATGAGTATCCCCTTTCTATTGTTGACCACCTTTATTTCAAAAGGTTTGATGCACCTTGAATCCTCTGTTCAAAGTTCCAACCCAAAATACCATAAAAAATTATATAGTTACTATTTATGTTTTAGAGAGGTGTAAGATTCAAAAGGTCATTGATCAAAATCAAGGTCGGATAGCTGTCACCACTGACATGTGGACTGCCACAAACCAAAAAAGGTCTTACATGGCTTTCACTGCCCATTATATAGACAACTTTTGGAAGTTGCGAAACCAGCTGCTTATGTTTGGATATCTCCCAACTCCACACACTAGTGAGAAGTTGGCTACAAAGCTAGCTCAATGCCTCCAATCTTGGAACATTGATAGTACACTGTCAACAATTAGTCTTGACAATTGTACTACCAATGATTCCATGATAAATCTAATTAAACAAAGGCTAGTGTTATCGAATCTAATTAGAGATGGAACACTTCTTCATATGAGGTGCTCTGCTCACATCCTTAATCTGATTGTGAGGGATGGTCTTGATGTATTGAAAGATGGTATTGAGAAAATCAGGTATAGTGTAATCTTTTGGACATGCACACCTAGGAGAGTGGAGTTTTTCCATGCAACTACCCAACAACTTAAATTATCTGTTTCTAAGAAGTTGGTGTTAGATTGTACCACTCGTTGGAATTCCACCTACAAGATGCTTTCTGGTGCTATCCCGTATAAGGAAGTGTTCTCTATATTGAAAATAAGGGATCCTCAATACAACTCTCTGCCTACCAACAAGCAGTGGGACTTTGTTGTTGTTTTTGTTGACAAGCTTGATGTTTTCAAGGACATAACTTTAGTTTTTTCTGATTCAAACTACCTAACAACGAATTAGTTTTTTGCTAAAGTTTTTGACTTGAGGTTACGGTTGAAGGAATGGTTAAGTGATCCTAATCCGATGATTGTTTCTATGACTAAGAACATGTGGAATAAGTTTGTCAAGTATTGGGATGACATTCATTTATTGTTAGTTGTTCTTGTTATGTTGGATCCACGATATAAATTCGATCTGGTTGATTCCTATGCTGGAAAATTCGGTATCACTAGTACTAATCTAGTGACTGAAAGGATCAGATCAGTTGTTGCTAACTTGGTTGTTGAGTATCAAAGAAAATCCATGAAAAACATTATAGTATCGAATAGTATTCATCCTTCTTCTTCGGCCACAGATCTGGATTTCGATCTGTAAGTTAGCCAAAGAAAGAAAACCAGAACATTTGTAGTACCACCGAGTTATATCACTATCTAGCTGAGGATGTTCATCCTAGAACACCGGATTTCGATTTGTTGGATTGTTGGAAATTCAACGGTGCCAAGTATCCCATTTTGCAAGAAGAGGTTGTTATGTATCAGATGGAGCTGCAAGGAGATGAAGACGAGGTTGCTGCAGTCATCAACCTGCTGGACTAGCTATTAGTGTGTATTCTGTTACTTTTTTTACTGCTAAAGTCTTGCTTATGGTGAAAGTTGTTCGATAGTAATTTAAAGTTGTAAATGTTGTTGGATTTCAGGAACTTTAATCTCATTGAAAGTCTTTAAAAGATTATATGACAAGATGGATATTTAGATATTTATACTTGCCATGCTCAACGTTAAGAAAGATTGAAGTCATATAGTTTGATTAAGCGAACGTGTTATTATCAACTTTTCTTTTTTAGGCCGCTGTTGAGTCATAAATGTAAATGAAGGATGCTAAAAATTAATTTTTTTAGAGATTTGAATGAGGGAGGCGAGTTAAAGTCTGAATTTACATATAAATTTACACAAGTTTAAGAGTTGAGGGGACTAAAATACCTCCTACCAATAACCTAGCTCTGCCATTGTTTTAGGGTAAAGTTCACAATAAACATAGATTCTAAATAAGAAAGGAGAGGATGATATCAATGGTGATTTCAAGATAATCTTGTATTGGTTGATGGGTACAAGTACAACATCATAAACTAAGGGTATGCATACTATATAATAATATCGATTTTTAACAAAATGAGCAAGGACAAGATTTATACTCTGTTTCCGATGTTTCCGAAGAATGGAAGGAAGGAAGGAAGGAAGGAAAATGAAGGAGAAGGAAAACATGTTGGTTGTGGGTCAATTGGAAAGTATGTTGGGTGTTGACAAACGCAGACCCAACCTGCCAATTTTAGAAGACCCAAATCCAACTAGTTAATTTTACAATTGGACAAAACCTGCACATTGTCCATTAATTAATTTATCAAACTTTAATAAAAGGTACGATTAGCGGTAATCACAAATTTTGTTAATGGTTAATCGATAAGCGTATAAGATATGCAGCTCGACCATGGTGGTCGCTGATGGGGATTCATATTTGAATTTTGTGCTATAGATATGTGAAAATCTCAAATAATTAATTTTTATTTCTATTATTTTCTAATTTTGACACGTCAATTATTTAGTTGTCAAAACTTATACTTGACTACCTATGACGATTTTAGAAGAATTGGATAGTCAATGACTAGCAATGAAACAAAATGTTAAAATTAATGACTAAAAGCAATAATTTTTTTTTGAATGACAGTGATTGCTATTCGTCGTCCTAAAAATCTTTATTCGTTACCCTAATTATATTAAATTTACTCTAATACCTTTAGTATTTTTTTTTTTGTCTTTCAGTCTTAAACTCTAAAACAACACCATGTAGTAAAAAAAAAAAAACAATCACCACATACATTCACTCGGCATCGGTGCCGACCACCTCACCGGAGAAAAAAATATCAGTTTCGCCTATACGTCTTCGTCTTCCTTCTGGCGGCCGCCACCCAGCTTGCCGGCGATCGAGCCTCTTTCTCTCTCTCAGCTTAAGGGCAGCGCAAAATCCAACCTCGAAGCATCATCAAAAGCAACGAGTCGCACCTTCCCACCGAACTCGCCAGCGCATCCGTCCTGCTCAATCACGGGTAGAATCGAGAGCGAGAACTTGAAAGGGAAAGGATGAGCCAATTCTTTGAAATTTGTAGTTGTATTTGTGGAAATTTAGAAATTGGTTAGGGGGTTCTATCATCTATTATCAATTGGTTGATTTAACCTGTGTTGATCGAAATTGAGGGTTTATTCCTTACTCATTGGAGGAACTTAAGGTTATATCAGAAAATGCAATTGGAGTGTATGATAGGCGTGGTTATATTAGGTGGTATGTGCAGTCTTATTCCATCTGTTCAACTGCTAGATTTTTTCAATGTAAGGCGATCGAAGGGTCGGCGCCATATGGAGATAGAACGATGGTGGGTCAGGGAAATGAGAGTTGCAGCGAGTTTGGGGAACGACGGCGGTAGGACGACACTTAGGAATGGCAATGGGGCAGGTCCGGGGCGGGTTTCTTGGTACCCAGACCCGCTCCGTGGCAGGGCGGATCTAGGTTGGGTAATTGATCACGGGTCACGGGTCGGGGCAGGTCGACCCAATGGGTATGCAATTTATATGAAAAACATTAGAAATATTCGTTATTTTTATTATAAAACTAAGAAAACAAACAATATTATGACAATTGTAGCTAAATTATTGGAGAAACGGGTCAAACAGATCGGATAAAACGGGTCAAACAGATCGGGTAAAACGGGTCAGGTCGAAATTGTCATCCCTAACGACACTTGAAGTTAGAGATTAGGAAAATTGGAGTTAGGGTATAAACGTCAATTTAGTAGAGTTTAGAACAATTTCTTTTTAAAATTTACGATGACGAATAGCGATTCAGCATTTTAAAGGTATCCGATAAAATCATTATGGTTAATTAAATTTATTAACCTTTTGGCGGAAAAAACAGCCAAAATTGGAGTAATATTCAAAATAATTAAATAAGTAATCAAATTAGAAGGGGCAGAGATGATAAATGAAAAATTACCAAAAAGAAAACACGAAACAAAACAAAAAGAGAGCCAGAGAGAGAGAGAGAAAGAGAGGAGAGAACGCATTGGCAATTCGGCATGGGCAAACTGTCAACTGGACAAGTTTGTGACAGACAGGTTCATCCCTCCGCTGTGAAGACTGAAGACGTAGGAGACGAGAAGAAATAAAGAAGATAACCCCCACAAACAAACAAACTTCCAAAATTGTGTGAAGCCGTGAACGGATGAATGGTGGCGATTATGACTAAAATGCATTGAAAAGCGGGGAACAGGGAAACTTGCAGATTTCGTCTCTCTCTCTCTCTCTCCATCTCCATTGTCCAGCCAGCGCCATCAGTCCCAGATCTTTAGGCCCTTCCCACCCATCTCCCGACCTATATAAATAGCAGCAAACCGAAATAAATGGCCGCGCCATCTGTTATACCGGTTGGTTGTGGCTATTCCTCTCCTACCTTGTCCCGTCACGTTTCCAGGAATGGAGGAGCTTATTCACCTCTAGCTTCTTCGTCCTCCTCTTCTTTTCCGTCTTCTTGCTCCTCCTGCTCCTGTTCTTCCTCTCCGGGACTCAGCTTCTCTGCCGGTAAATTTTCTGGGTTTCCTTTCTCTGTCTTTAATTTGCTTTCGATCATGGTATAGTTTGTAAGTTTGCGTAGCAGATTGGCCTGGCGGGTAAGCTTTACCTCGCTGCCTGGTTGGATTTCTGGAGATGTTTGAAGTTTACCATGACGAATTTTGTGTTTCTGCCTTGAGAATTGGCTTTGCCGAGATTCATTATGTTTTGATCATAAGTTTCTAGATTGCTGTTGAAATGATGAAGCTTGTTAAAGATGGTAGTGATAGTGTGTTTCCTGCCGGCAAATTGTTGCAAGCTAGTTCAGGGTTAGGTCTGATGTGTAACTCGTATGACCAAGGATGGACGATTGGCCATGGACGAAAATGTTAGATTGATTGGCGTTGTTAAGGGTAAATGTATATAGCCGCTTGGAGAACCAGTCCCCTTAACCTAGCTTTTAAAACATTTTAAGATATATATGGCCTTGGGTTGATAAATAGCTAGAGCTTCTGATTACCAAGCTTTATTGCTTCCTATGGTTTTGTACAAAGGTGGTTGCTAAAGGAAGCTCAGAGGATCATGTAATTTGTTGGAACTTATTGGAACCGAAAAAGCATTATATCGTGTTCGTCGTTATGTTGCCATGGCATCAAGTTCCTCTAGCATACAGCTTGGACTATATAACTAGCCATCCTCCTTTGTTAATGAGGCTTGCTATTAGCTTTCAGATGATTTTCAGGAAGTGTTCTTCAGTTCTTGAAACATCAGACAATCTCTTGCAGGTGTAAATAGTAATTGGAAACATCAAGATTTTAGAGCCCAAGCAATGGATACGGCCTCTCAAGGAAGTTTTCAATCCTCCGATGTACTGACCAATGGAAGAAATGACCCTGATCATCTTCTTGTTCTTGTTCATGGCATCCTTGCTAGGTTTGTATCATCCAATTCCATTCACGATATGATTTCAGAAAGTTCAGAGATCGATTATAGTTTAACTTTTCTGCTGCTACAATTATTTGAGCAACTTACTGCACTGCGCACAGAAGCGACTAATTGATGCTTTTGGATTGACTATGATCAACAAAATTGCGTGACCTTAATCCTGCATTCTAAATAAGTTGATAAGCTTCATTTTCCATTGTGGACTATAAATATAAATAAGAATGTTTGTTTGCTTCTGCTGCAGCCCCAATGACTGGACTTATGTTCAAGCAGATTTGAAAAAGCGCCTTGGAAGAAATTTTATGTTATATGGTACGCTACTATCTCTCCTTTCTGTAACTTGTTCCGTGTGCTTGGAAAAGTTTTAGACACAATATAGTGGAAAGACAATATTTCCACTATGAACTGGTAATACGAATGGGCTGATGAGAAGGGCTCGGAAGCAGCAAGGTTTAATTAGATCTGTTCTTTCAAGTAGAACACAGTTCTCTTGGATAATTGGTTACAAGTTTGCTATATGGGAAGAATCTAATATCATGAGTGTCTGTTTGCAGCAAGTTCATCAAACACCTTCACAAAAACTTTTGGTGGCATAGATGAAGCTGGCAAACGACTAGCAGAAGAAGTAAGTTGTATTGCTCTAGTGGACATACAAGCAGCATCCACTAGTTACTTCTTTTTCTTTATGGATTTTGTGTATAGCAGGCAATCACCTGTATTGATCCTTGTAGATCTAATGTACAGGTCAAACAAGTTGTAAGCAAGACAGAGAGCCTGAGAAGGATTTCCTTTTTAGCTCATTCTCTTGGCGGTTTGTTTGCAAGATATGCGATTGCAGTCCTTTATTCAGAAAACACCGATAATCAGCTCAAACTTAATGACGATGTTGATTCTGCCACTCGTTCTCGAAAGGCAAGCTCTTCAAGAAGTGGTAGAATTGCTGGACTGGAGCCTGTCAATTTTATTACGTTAGCAACTCCTCATCTTGGAGTCAGAGGTAGAAACCAGGTTTGTTATATTGATGTCTATTTTTTGATCCAGTATGTTGTGGAGTAACTATCAAAATAATCAAGTTGAAAGATTTATTTGATAGTCACTTAGCAAACTTCCTTGATTCCGTATATTTGCTGGAAATAGCATTCTCTTACCTGTATCTGTGTAACGTATCTTAGGTTATGTGTGGGTGTACTGCTTTGATTGTAGTATATGCTTTTCTGCAGCTACCACTTCTCCTAGGAATTCCCTTCTTAGAGAAACTTGTTCCTCCAATCGCCCATATCTTTGTGGGCAAAACTGGTAAGGAGTTGTTTCTTACTGATGGCCAGCCCAACAAACCACCTCTGCTTCTAAGAATGACATCAGACTGTGAAGAAGGAAAATTTCTGTAAGTATAAATGAATAATAGAAGCATGCTTCCAGCAGAAATAACTTTACTCGAAGCAGTATTTCTTATTCGATTTCCATGTTTTTGGCTGCAGAGCTGCCCTTGGGGCATTCAGATGCCGCACAGTGTATGCAAATGTGTCTTATGACCGTATCCTATGCATCATATATAATTTTATAAGACATCTTGACTTTCTTCCTTCGCTGCGTGATTAGCTTCCTTGACACAACTAACCAAGACATGGTTGGGTGGCGCACTTCCTCCATTAGAAGAGAGACAGAACTAATGAACGTGAGGCTTGTTGCTTTAACTAAGCATCAGTTGTTCACAGGCAATTGACTAAAGGCATGTTTGGCTCTTTGCAGCCCCCTCGACGATCATTGGATGGTTACAAGCATGTTGTAGATGTCGAGTATTGCCCTCCAGTCTCTACCGACGGCCCCCATTTCCCTCCAGAAGCAGCAAAAGCCAAAGCAGCAGCACAGAATGATCCCAGCAACAAGAATACATCAGAGTATCATGAACTTATGGAAGGTAAAAAGAGAGAGACTTGACGCTTCCATCCTGTTCATCTTCTAACTCAACCATGACCTATCCCGGACCTCTATGACTGGTGACATAACGGCATTCTTTCACATTTACATTTGTTTTCTTCTTTCCCCTGGTTGGCAGAGGAAATGATACACGGTCTGCAGCAGTTGGGATGGAAAAAGGTGGATGTCAGCTTTCACTCAGCATTCTGGCCATTCTTTGCGCACAACAACATACACGTACCGTTCCCTTCCCTCTCTTCCATTTATCGATTTTTTCTTTACCCGACTCCAGTTCATCTAACAACAGTTGGACGGTACTTTTGACAGGTGAAAAACGAATGGTTCCATAATGCCGGGGCTGGAGTTATCGCTCACGTTGCAGAAAGCCTGAAGCAGCAAGAACCCTCTTCGTCCCACTTAACTGCTAGCTTGTAATCTGTTGAAGTATGGAATGGAAGTCAAAGAGATGAAAACCTCTTTCTTCTACTAGCACTAGGGGTGGAATACCAGAATTCCCCATTATACGACTATAGGATGAGCGTAGTATATAGAATAGAAGCGTCAACATATCTAGAGATCCTAGTGCAGGGGAAGGATGTAACTATTTGGATACCCTGAAATCATTATCATTGATTTGCAGCAAAACCTATTTGCGTTGCAATTGCAACTGCAACATCTATTACCGAAAGCAAATACGTCGCTTTCTTGCTGCCATGATAGCTCTGGATGTGAGACGAGGGTCATGGGACGTCAATCAATAATGAACCACTTGCAGTGCTCTCACCCAACACAGCCTTAGTTATTATATGGCATTTATCGTCTACTTGAGTCGCATGCTTGCGTGGTACATGACCTCAATATTTGTTTCCTTTTCCGTTTTTGACTATTTGTTTTGTCACTACTCACTAACATGTGTACAAAGTAAACAAATAAAAATTGCCCCCGAAGATCAACTCCAATACACCACTCACAATTCGATATTTGGAAATTTAGGTGGAAGCGGGTGTAAAACCATATCGTATCAATCGGTCCGACTACAAATATTGGATATCGAATTTAAAATGGTAGTTGGTTTTAGCGGTAAGAAACAGTTGAATCACGGTTTGACTACAAAATATCTTGTTACTGATTTTTACAGCATGAGCTACAGTACGGTATTCACAAACCTTGGTTTTAATCAATGAAAAAAATATTCGGTCGCTGTTCGGAGGCTGATCGAGATGGTTTTGGTCTTGAAGTTGGTTCGATTAACCGAAAACCAAGATAACCGAAGTCTAAATCTCTATTTCGTTCGATTGTCGGTACGAGGGACAGACAGTTTGATTAATCGATACCGATCGATCAGTTACCAGTTATAACCGAAACTAACCGACGGTAGGGGTGGGTATTGGTTTGACCAAACCGCTCCAAATCGCCCCAAACCGCTTATGCGGTCAATCCAAACCGCATCATTAAACTAACGGTTTCATTTGCGGTCTGATCGTTAACCCTTGGCGGTTCACGGTTCGGATTGACCCAAACCGCTCGGTAGCGGTTTGAAACCACAATCCGCTAATTCCTAATCTAGGTCAAACGCCTCTTCTCACCACACAACACACGACAGCAGCTATCCTCTGGGCGACGCCGACACGGCGCCATCTTCTCTCCGGCGGCACCATCTTCTCTCCGGCAGCACCAGATCTGACCATTCTCTCATTCCGCCATCTTCTCTCCACGGCGCCATCTTCCCCAGCTTTGGCGGACTGTCAAATACACCAAGAGGCGGGAGATTTCTAGGATCGAAGGCATCTCGATCTTTCCTATTCTCGGAGCTCCGGTGCTTTGGCCGACTGTCAAAAACACCATTACCGGCGAGATCAGGTATGCTTTTCTCCTTTGGTTCTATATTTGAAGTTACGAATATAGGGCAGCTCTGTTCGAGCGATCTCCCAATTGCAATCTCTCCCCGGAGGCGATATCAAGCTCTTGTGCGATATTGTGGTTGAGTGCGTTCGAGAGCTCACAGGCTACGACAGAGTCATGGTGTACAAGTTCCACGAGGATGAGCATGGAGAAGTAGTGGCGGAGAACAAAAGAGCCGATTTGGAGCCTTACATGGGTTTGCACTACCCTGCCACTGATATCCCTCAAGCTTCCCGCTTCTTGTTCAGGCAGAATAGGGTTAGGATGATAGTCGATTGCCATGCTTCCCCAGTCCATGTGTTTCAGGATGAAGGGCTGATGCAGCCATTGTGCTTAGTGTTAATGACAGTTCAATGTTTTAACTGTTTTATTTCATATGCTTGCAGGGCAAAATGAAATCAAAAGGCTCGAAGGGAAAACGAGCTCAAGCACCGATATCTAGCAGCAATGTGCTTAATGTCAGTGAGGTGAGTGTAGATGCATACACTGTCAAGTAGGGGAATGGGTTTTATCATTTAGCATCTAATTTCGTGAATCTATTCCCTACTGTCAGTGTGACCTTTTCTGGACCTTGTGATGAATGCATGCTTTGATCTCTGTACTCTAGTGCTAGGTTACAAAACTGTCTAGCCCTGAAGTCCAAAGAGGAATGCTACATATTTATCAAAAGCATATAGCAGCAGCATAATCATTCATGTCCATATATTTTAGATAGATGGGGATAGTAGTGCACTTAGTACCTATGGCAGCAGCATATAGCAGCAGCATAACCCCTATGGCATCCCAGAGCTATTGTCAGAGGATGGGGATAGTAGTGCACTTAGTACCTCAAGGGGTATGTTCATATTTTTTTATTTAATAGTCATGAATTTCTTAAACAAAATCAGTTCTTTATCTGACACAATGCTACAGGTGCCTTGACTATGTGATTGCTACTGATACAACTGGAAATTTTATAAGATTGCTTGAGAAGACCATGTAAGAAACACCACAAAAGACAATCCAGTGTATAGGCAATTCGTATTTACTGGCTGGCTGCCCTGCCCACTTCTAATAGGAGCATAGATCCAAAATTTGATTTCAGGTCTGGACAAATGTTGATTAGGTTGAGTTAAAAAATAACAGTAAACTATCCCAGGTTGAGTTAAACATTACAGAAGAGGGCAGAGCAATCCTTTCCCCAAAAGCAGGACCACCCTTTTCTTGTTGCTGCCAAAAAAGCCTTCAATTTGGCGCATATCATATCTGTTATGTTCTGTACTGTTGTGCTTCAATTTGGAAGGGCTTTATAATTTTATTCTTTATGTTCTTATGCCCTGTTCTCATTTACTCTATTATTGTTTAGGCCGAGTGTGATGATGTTGGAATGGATTCCTCAAGTGGGGAAGAGATGGAAATCGAAAATGATGCAAGTACGAGCAAGGTTCTTTGATCTTTATTTATGGATAATCTGTTCTTTTAGGTTGATGGAAACTACACGGAAGCCGTCAAAGCTGAAGTACTTGTTTTGTTTGGATCGATTCCTGAACTTGACCCTAAGAATGTGGAGACTACAATTCAGAATGGCTGCTGAAGTTTTGGACAAGCCATGTTGGATCGCTGATGTTGACTTTTTCACAAGCAGAATAATGTCTTAGTTTCGTAAGGTTCAAATTGTAGTGTTGATGGTACATAGTTGAAGTTTCTGAGTTGTTGCCTTCGGTTTCACAGAACTATGTGGGCTTGATCTTCAAACTGGAATGTTTGCTGAGGTGGTCTTTCGTGATGAATTTTGTTTTAGTTGATGGGATATATAGTTGCAGCAGCTTTAATATATACTCCCTAATGTATGTATGCATAACCATATAGAGTTATTAACAGTTCCAGGAAAATTAGCTTTCAAGTGAGAAAATTAGCTTTCAAGTTCGAAGCTGTAAGCCTGTAAGGGCTGAGTCAATGCTGCTCCCTGTGAGCTGGTGACAGGATGGGGAAGAGAAACCTTCATCTTTGCGGGGCTATTGTCATATGAATTGTTAAATGCAGCAGAGAGCTTTGTCTCGACATTATTAACATCACCAACCAGTTGAAAGCAGTTGGTTCAGTAAATAAGAGAAGAAACCATCTTTTCTGTATTCGTTCGTGATTTTTTCCTGCTTGATACAGAGCAGGGAAAAATGATGCTAAGGTGGCCAGGTTGATTCGATGGTGTCTTACTTTTGCTTGTGATATGCACATGTGCCTTCGAAACAGATTGTTCTTCATTTAACAGAATAGAATGAAACCTTCATCAACAGTTGCTTCATATCTCATTCCATTTGCAACTACTCTCCCATTCTTGCAGCGTCGAAACTCCAAGGCTTGATTCTTTGGCAGGACATGGAGGGTGCTGAAAAATGTGTGTGCAATGCAAGGTCTTTACGCAAGTTTGAGACTTTCCTGCTGGGGAAGGACCTGGTTCTGAAAATATGGGTTGTCCTCTTAAGTAACAGCACTAAAGGTATTGCGGTCAAGATGCGGTGCGGTTTAAACCGTATCAAACCGTTAATTTATGCGGTTTGGTTTGACCGCACCGATAACTTAGCGGTCTCAATGCGGTGCGGTTTATATCAATGCGGTGCGGTGCGGTTTATATCATTGCGGTGCGATGCGGTCCGAACCGCACCGATACCCACCCCTAACCGACGGCCAGCCTATCTGAATATGCGGGTATTCAATAATAAATCTGCAAATTGGGAAGCGAAGCGAGGAAGTTCGCTGTATTGTTGAGCATAAGGAATCCTATGGATACATGGAGAGTTTTTTTTTCCCCATAATAATAATAATTATTATTCCACTCGTACATATATCTGCAAATTAATTTCGTCCTTTTTGGTATTTCATTTTCCCTGTACTTTCTCCAAATAGTGGCTCGTTTAGGGAACTAAAGGCCACTTTGAATTTTTGATGCTTACAATGTCGTTCTTCCTTTTTCTATGATAATTTTGAAAAGGACAGATGATCATTCTTTGACATTTTCCTTCGCATTAGAGAAAGCTAGCTGTACACATTGAAAGCCACGACATTCGGCGATATCATTATTGCCATTGGGCGTGCTATATTACTTTTCTCCATTAATTTGTTCTTTTTAATTCTTGCCTCTCTTTTGTAAGTTCAGATTATTATAAGGTTTCTAAGAACAAAAAAATTATTATAAGGTTTCTAAGAACAAAAAAATTATTATAAGAGTTGCAGACTTGCAATGACCTCCAAATCCTGTTTAGTTTTATTTGAATGAAAATATAATCTTTTCTAATAAGAAATTATAAGAAGAAATCACTGATAACTAGTTTTGATTTTTATTCTCTCTTTAATTTTGATTTATTACAGGCCATGTTGACAATCACCAGAGTCCACCCTCTTTTCGGTACTTAATATTTTCCACGACGGGAGCAGGAGGGCGACAGCGACGCCGTTTGGCACTGCACGTGTTTCCCACGGTTCAGAACGCGAGTGGAGTAGCGCCTACTGCCACTGGGCCGGCGTCTCCCGCGGACCCGGGCCATTCTCCTCGGGTCGCGACTCCGTGTCTCATTCTTCGTCCTATTTCTTCTTACAATCAGCCCCTCTTTCTAGAGAGAGAAAAACAAAGCAGCAAAGCGAGCGAGGGGGAATCTAGAGCGAGAAAAGGAGAGTGAAGTCTCTGCACCTCTAGCTGATCCTTTCCTCCCCGGGAGAACACAGATCGATCATGGCGGCCACCAATGAACGAGACAGCTGCGTCTACACAGCAAAACTCGCTGAGCAAGCTGAGCGCTATGAAGGTATACTTATTGATTCTTCTCCCTTCACGTTCCATCTTTCCCCCCTCAAATGTCCTGTATTTCCGTTTGGTTGCCGAGAAAGATTTGAGCAGGTGGAAGTATGGCGAGTGGATATCACGATTCTGCGTTTAATCGTTTCGTTACTTTGTGTTCCCGTTCGCCTTGGACTGAGATTTAGAGGAAACGAACTAGCAGTATGATTCTTCAGTTCTTTCGCAAGATTCTTGACCACTTTGTCACCGTTCATACTGCCTGAATAATGCTGGATCGCTTCTCTTTTTGATAGTATACCTCCGTAGAAATCGTAGTTATCTTGAATGAGCGATTTGTCTCTACGCTGTGAGTGCCCATGAGTGAATCGGGTGAACTAATAAGCCGTTGACGAGAAGCGAGTGTGTTCGATATTATTGTCCTAATTCGTTGATAAAAGTTTGAGCAATCAAACGAGGCCTTACACCTAGGGTTTTGACTTTCTAACGAGCACTGTTTTGTGTGTTCCCGATCTCTGTAGAAATGGTCGATGCAATGAAGAAATTGGCCACGCTGAACGTAGAGCTGACTATAGAGGAGAGGAACCTACTCTCTGTTGGATACAAGAATGTGATTGGTGCTAGGAGAGCATCGTGGAGGATACTGTCATCCATTGAACAGAAAGAGGAAGGGAAAGGGAATGATCAGAACGTGAAGCGGATCAAAGGGTACAGACAGAAGGTCGAGACTGAGCTGTCCGATATTTGCACCGATGTGATGACTGTGATTGATGAACATCTGATTCCTTCTTGCTCTGGTGCAGAATCCACTGTCTTTTTCTACAAGATGTGAGTTCCTTTTCAATCTGTGTGGATGTTTTAGCATTGATTCATCCTCAAAGGCAAAATTTCTTTTTCTGAAACTAAGTCTTATTTCTTTGTGTAGTCTATAATGTTTACCTTTTTCTCGTATTTGCTCAATGGTTATTGTGATGCACCTTTTTTGTTTATAGTTTCCTACTTTGATGGGCTTTTTGTGTCACAGAGGTTTTGTAACAACATCGTATGCTATAGTTCATACTTTGATGGGCTTTTATGTTGCTTGCTGCAGGAAAGGAGATTATTACCGGTACCTAGCAGAATTTAAGGCCGGTGATGAGAGGAAAGAGGTTGCTGATCAGTCCATGAAGGCATATCAGGTTTGATCTCTTACTGATAGATCTCCACTGTAGTTACATGCTTGTTTGCTTACCAAGACTCTAAAACTCTAATTTTATCTCTCCATTGCCTTATTTCCCGTTGCAGGCGGCTTCTACTGCTGCAGAGGCTGATCTGCCTCCTACACACCCCATCAGGCTGGGTTTGGCCTTGAACTATTCAGTGTTTTACTATGAAATTCTCAACTCTCCTGAAAGGTTTGCCTCGACCTACTCAGCATTTTACTACAAAAATGTCTTGGGGTGCTTAGTATTTTCTTTCTTTTGGTAGCAAAATTTTTGGAACTTCCTCATGATAATATCTTACTTTTTTCCAGGGCTTGTCACCTCGCAAAGCAAGCTTTTGATGAAGCAATCCATGAACTGGACACTCTCAGCGAGGAATCTTACAAGGATAGCACATTGATCATGCAGCTCTTAAGGGATAACCTGACTTTGTGGACTTCTGACATCCCAGACGATGGTGGTAAGCTGTCTGCTTTCTGCTGTTAAATTTGTCGGCCTCTGCCTCATTAGCACAGTGGAACCATTTCCGCTCCTCATTGTGTTGGCTCTTAAATTCTTTGCAATACCATTGCAATCAATCGGTTGTCTATCTAATACACACTGAATGTAAGCTCATGGATATAGCTAGTAAACTTGCTAAGTACCTAGCTGCCTCCTTAAAAGAATATCCCTGTTCTTTATTGAACATGTTTTGTGGGTGATTTGTTTGTGTTAATGTTGGTCTTACTGATGGCAGAAGAAGGTAAGCTCGAAAAGGGCGGTGGGGGTGAAGATGCTGAGGTTAGTTATCTGTTGAGCTCGTGATGATCGATTTCTTTCCCTTTCCATTAGCATGTCAAACATTTCATTCTCATTGCTATCATGTTGTCCCTTCCTTTGCAGTGAGAGAAGTAAATGGATGGAGGAGCTGGGGTAGTGCGCGGTGTTGGCCATCATATGACTTGGGAGAATGGTTTGTGTCCCTTGTGTGGGTGTTGTTAGTAGTCTGTAGCTCGATTATTCTTTGTTTCTAGAGAAATTGAAGTTCCAAAAGTTTGCACTTTTTTTTCTGTATTTTCTTCTTAATGCTTGGTTTGATGTGTGGGGAGGGGACTACTACTACTCTTTAGGGTTTTAAGCAGCAGCAGCAGCAGCAGCAATTGCTTCTTGTTAAATGCCATTAATTAACCAACTAAAAGATTCGTGTCCAGTTGCTGAAAGTATATTTCTTGTCGTGATTGCTAACTTTAGCATCTACAGTTCTTCTCATTCTCAAACATCCAAACGGATTGTGTATTAGGAAGAATTGTTTTAAAAAGGAAGAAAGAGAGAAGAGCGGGTCAAAATGTTTTACAACCACAGATGAAAAAAAGTTTGTAAGCCAGTGTCTGTAATTTCCTTGTCCTTATATAAACGGAAGCCTCTTCTTCCATCCCAAACAGCCAAGATAATATAATACAATACTTGAACAAAACAATGGAGAAGGTTTTCATTGTAGCATCAGCCCTGATCTGCTTGTTAGGCCTGCTGGGCACGGGCACTGCCGATACCTTCACCGTGGAAGGCAAGGTCTACTGCGACACCTGCCGCACCCAGTTCATCACCAGGATCACCGAGTTCATGCCAGATGCAGTGGTGCGGCTGGAGTGCAAGGATCGCGAGGGCGGGTCGATCACCTTCAGCGCGGACGCGATCTCCGACACGCACGGTGTGTACCACATTCCGGTGCAGGGAGACCACGAGGACGAGATCTGCGAGGTGTTCTTGGTGAAGTCCCCCAGGCCAGACTGCAGCGGGATCCCCAAGCCGGAGAAGAACAAGGAGGATTCGGCCAGGGTCAGCATCACCAAGAACAACGGCATGATCTCCGGGGTCAGGAGGGTCAGCCCCATGGGCTTCTTGATCACCAAGGCTAAGCCCGAGTGCGCGGAGGTCCTCAGGGAACTTGGCATCACCCCTCAAGGCCTCGTCCCATAACTACCTAGTCCATTCCATTAACAAGTAAATCTAAAACTTACGTTACGTATGACGCCAAAACCAAAATGGCTAAAACACACAACCTTTCTTCATTCAATTTCATGTTTCATTTCTGTTTTTATTCGTCGTGATTAAATGTGTTTGTACAAGGAGGATCTGGTATGGTTAATTTCACCGCTGCCTCTCTCAATTACGTACTCTGGATTCATCTCCCTAGTATATATATTCATTCATTCATAAGGAAATTCTTGCTTCTTGTGATGATGACGACGAAGGTGTAAGGAAGTGGTTAAGTGCCATACACGGGCCTGTATAAGATCCAGCATAACCTTCTAATCTAGCCAAATGGTCGTGTGTTCGAATCTTCATGACTCCCAATATTAACAGTTGATTAAGGAACAAGGTATGGTGGGCCTGTGCAAACTTCAAGCCCATGGGTTGGCTTTCGTTTGAGGGGGCCTGTTAGAGAGTAGTATAAGATCCAGCAGAACTTTCTCCCAACAACTCGAGTTATTGGGAGCAACAGGTTTATGACATGGTATCAGAGTCTGGTTTGTCCTTGAGGTCACGTGTTCAAGTCCTCACGACCCCCAATATTAACTGTTGTCTTTCAAGCACATGGTATGGCGGACCTGTGCAAACTTCAAGCCCATGAGTCGGCTTTCGTTTGAGGGGGCGTGTAAGGAAAGCATAACCTTCTCCCAACAACTCGAGTTATTGGGATCAACTGGTTCTTGACATGGTATCAGAGCCTTCTGTGACCGAGAGGTCTTGTCTTCGATTCCCGGTGACCCCCATTCGTTAAGCACATGGTATTCTTGTCTTCAGACCTGTGCAAACTTCAAGCCCTTGTGAGTGGCTTTCCTTAGAGGGGGCGTGTTAGTGTTGTGGTATATGATCCAAGAAGCAACGCACTGTTGCCCGCTCTAGCACTGAGGCTGAATATCGTGCTCTTGCACTGGCTGCCTCTGAGACTGTCTGGCTTCAGAATCTACTCACCGAACTTCATTACACTCTCCCTCAGGCACCGACCATCTTCTGTGATAATCTGGGGGCGATTCACTTCAGCTCCAATCCCGTTTTCCATTCTCGTATGAAGCATCTTGCTCTCGACTATCATTTTGTGAGACAACTGGTCACTTCGAAGGCTCTTCACCTCCGTCACGTGCCTACTGCATCTCAGTTAGCTGATGTTCTCACCAAAGCACTTCCCTCTACTCGATTTTGTCTGTTGCGTTCCAAGATTGGTCTTGCTGACGCGTCGTCCATCTTGCGGGGGCGTATTAGGGAGAATTCCCGATAGTTGTTGTATTACTTGTCCAACAAGTTATCCTTCTCCTACTTGTACTTGTATTCTACAACTCTGTACACATGTATAAATATTTGTCTCCTCAATAATACAATATACAGCTCATTGCAAACCTTACATGGTATCAGAGCCTTCTGTGACCGAGAGGTCTTGTGTTCGATTCCCGGTGACCCCCATTTGTTAAGCACATGGTATTCTTGTCTTCAGACCTGTGCAAACTTCAAGCCCTTGTGAGTGGCTTTCGTTTGAGGGGGCGTGTTAGTGTTGTGGTATATGATCCACGATTGAACCTCTCCCAACAATTCGAGTTATTTGGACCAACTGGTTTATGACACGGTATCAGAGCCTTCTATAACCGAGAGGTCTTGTGTTCAATTCACGGTGACCCCCATTTGTTAAGCACATCGTATTCTTGTCTTCAGACCTGTGCAAACTTCAAGTTCTTGTGAGTGGCTTTCGTTTGAGGGGGCGTGTTAGTGTTGCGGTATATGATCCACGATTGAACCTCTTCCAACAGCTCGAGTTATTGGGATCAACTGGTTCTTGACATGGTATCAGAGCTGGTTTGTCCTTGAGGTCACGTGTTCAAGTCCTCATGACCCCCAATATTAACCGTTGTCTTCAAGCACATGGTATGGCGGGCCTGTGCAAACTTCAAGCCCATGAGTCGGCTTTCGTTTGAGGGGGCGTGTAAGGAAGTGGTTAAGTGCCATACACGGGCCTGTATAAGATCCAGCATAACCTTCTCCCAACAACTCGAGTTATTGGGAGCAACTGGTTCTTGACATGGTATCAGAGCCTCGAACCGAAAGGTCATGTGTTCGAATCTCCACGACCCCCAATATTAACAGTTGTCTTTCAAGCACATGGTATGGTGGGCCTGTGCAAACTTCAAGCCCGTGGGTTAGCTTTCGTTTGAGGGGGCGTGTTAGAGAGTGGTATAAGATCCACGATTGAACCTCTCCCAACAACTCGAGTTATTGGGATCAACTGGTTCTTGACAGAAGGCGGTGAAGATGTGATCATTGTTATTGAATCAAATTAGATTTGAGTCATCGACACACACTAACAAAAATTGCAGTTTGTTTTCATTAACATTTTCGATATCAGCTCATCATGATGAACTCATTCAGAACCTGTTCATAATTTCAAAAAACTTCATTTCGTAATATCCTAACTCTAAGAACGTTGAATCGCCATTGCTTCTTTGAATGAAGGATGTTGTATTGAACCACTAAATGGTAGTGGCATGTCAATGAAGGATGTTGTTCCCCCACTCTTTTCACGATATAAAGATACACAAGGAAAAATGGGCTGGTCAATGAATTCACTTAGGGGTCGTTTGGAAGTTGTGATTGTTAGAGTAGTGTTTGTTGAATACATGTATTGTGCACAGTACAATGTTTGGAAGTGCCAAAATGTAAAACAATGCATAGGTAGGTCCCACCAACAATCACAAAAAATGATGCATTATACAATCTCAACTAAAAGTTGAGATTGTTGTGATTGTTGATTTTAGATTTGTGTCAACTTTTTCTTTCCATTTATATCCCTAATAGTTTTTGTCTTATTCTAAAAGTTGAGGGTAAATGTGACATTTTTCCATAAAAGTAATTTATGTAAATTAATGCATAAAGTAGAATCTCAACAACCAAACATTGTATTGTTAAAATGCATCCATTGTATCAATACATGCATAATGCATTTATATTATGGTGATTCATTACAATGCAACGATTTAACATTCGCAACTTCCAAACAACCCTAGATCACGATTTTGAGTTAGAGTGCAACAAATACAGTGATAAATTATTAACTAACGAGCAAGCTCCACTACAATAAGTAGAAATCATATATGTGGTCAAGACAATCAACCACCATGTCATGTATTCTCAAGCATTTACAAATTATTTTACCTCATGCCATTTAATATCGGGAGCCTGGAGGTAAAAAAAGGCCTAATGGGAGAATGGGCTTTCGTAGCCCAATTTATGAGCCCAATGTTTGTATAGCCCCAAAACGATGTGTAACTGCCTAAACCAAATAAAAGAAGAGAGAATTCTAATTCCAAAGACCGCTTCCAGTCCCCAGGCCCCAGCTATTTGCCGTTAGCCACGCGTCAAGCATCCCGCGTCGATAGGAAATAATTGAACGGCAGCGATCATTCAAGAAACAGACGATTAAAGCAGCCTAAGCTCGAACAGAAGCCGTTAAGCTATTATAAAGGGTGGGCCAATCGATATTCAGTTTTTTTTTTTCACATTCACCAATCCATCTCTCCGGTTTACGATTGGGTTAATTCTCTAAATACAGATAAAATTAAACCAAATTCCTAAACTACCACACTTTTAAAAAAAATTCCCAAAATACCTAAGTTTGGAGTGGTTCGAGTTTGAGGAACTCGAACTACTAACCGGTTCGAGTTTAGGAGACTCGATCTAGTCGTAGATTGATGATATAAGCCTCGAACCATGTGGAGCTGAAGTGGTTCGAGTTCAGTGGACTCGAACCACTCCTTTGAAATTTCCAACAACCTTAACTTTGTGCTCGGTTATCCGATCGTAGCAAACTTTTTTTTCATTTCGCATAACTTTTTGAGGACTACAACTTTTATAATAGAAATATTTTCAAAATATATGTGAAAAGTGAAAAATAAAGTTAAATGTACTCCCAAACCACCTTATATTAAAAACTATTCCTATTTTGAAAATTTATTCCTAGTAAATGTTGTAGTACTCAAAAAATTATGCAAAACAAAAAAAAACTTTGCGACGTTCGGATTGCGGAGCACAAAATTATGATCCTCCAAAGTTTGACAAATTCGAAAATTTGCTCGTTTATGGGTAGCAAATGACGTTTTCTAGGAAGATAGCCATCCAAAAAATTTCTCGTTTGGAAAAATATTGCTCTTTTGGCAGAAATTCCCTATATATAAAAAATTTCCCGTGCATTCGCCCCGAGAAAATGTCATTTGTTACCCCTAAATGAGCAAATTTTCAATTTTGCCAAACTTTAGAGGATCATAACTTTGTGCTCCGCAATCCGAACGTCGCAAATTTTTATTTTGTTTTGCATAATTTTTTGAGTACTACAACATTTACTAGGAATAAATTTTCAAAATAGGAATAGTTTTTAATATAAGGTGGTTTGGGAGTACATTTAACTTTATTTTTCACTTTTTACATATATTTTGAAAATATTTCTATTATAAAAGTTGTAGTCCTCGAAAAGTTATGCGAAATGAAAAAAAAGTTTGCTACGATCGGATAACCGAGCACAAAGTTAAGGTTGTTGGAAATTTCAATGGAGTGGTTCGAGTCCACTGAACTCGAACCACTTCAGCTCCACATGGTTCGAGGCTTATATCATCGATCTACGACTAGATCGAGTCTCCTAAACTCGAACCGGTTAGTAGTTCGAGTTCCTCAAACTCGAACCACTCCAAACTTAGGTATTTTGGGAATTTTTTTTAAAAGTGTGGTAGTTTAGGAATTTGGTTTAATTTTATCTGTTTTTAGGGAATTAATCCTTTACGATTCCCCTCAATTCAAAGAAGAAACAAGAAAAAGGAAAAAAGAAAAACCTCTGAGAAATTGTCCCTGCTCTGCTCCTCCCCACCAGTCCAAAGAAGGCATGTGCTACGCCTTGAACGAGACGGTGGAGATTTGCAAGAAGGCGGAGCGCTTCGCCGGGGCGTACTACAGAGCCACCGTGGCCGCCGCCATCGGATACACGCGCTACCTTGTCCGGTACGAAACCCGCTACTCCCTCAAGACCGACACCGACACAGTGTACCTGATGGAGGCCGTCGACCCCGACGAGATGCGCCCATTGCCGCCCCAATTCTCCTACGAGAACCGCAAGCTCAACGACCGGGTCGACGCATTCATCGACGGCGCCTGGCGGGTCGGCAGAGTCACCCGCTTCGTCGACCCCAATTTCTACGTCCGGCTCGATCACGACGCCCGCCGGGTGGAGCATCATTGCCCCTTCTACAAAGTCCGCCTCCATCTCGAGTGGCGAAACGAACAGTGGTTCTACTGCCACGACGACTGGTACGCCTGCCCAATTGAATCAATTAATCAACCCCCCCCCCCCCCCCCCTAATCTAATGATTAGCGAATTGATTAGAATGGATTCTTGCATTGATCATCTGCCTTTGATTTGAGCGATTGGGGATTGGAATTTTGGGGGGAAGGATAATTATTAGTCAATTCTTGGTCAGTTCTTTAGGGAGCCATTGGCATTTGGCATGGGCATGGGCATGGCGCTTGTTAGTTTCCCAGTTGACCAGTAGTTTACTTTGTTTCTTTTCTTTTCTTTTTTCTTTTCCTGCCGAGGGAGTCCGTCAGTCAGGGTACAGAAACCAGAAAAGGTCGAGTCAGATCAGAACCCTCGAAGGACGGGTCGTTAGCCCGCCTGCCTCGAGACTCGAGACTCTAACTTTCTGTTAAGAAGGGCCCAAATCTTTGATTTGAGGTCCAGCCCAGTTTCGGAGCTGATGGGCTAATTTCATTGTGTGTTTTTCAAATATCGGGGCAGGCCTCAGGTCCAGAATCAGAATCAGGATGGGAATCCGGATCCGCCACAGGCTGACCAGAGTCAAAATAAAAATCAGGGTGGGAATCCAGAACACGAGCAGATTCAGGATCGGACAGATGAAATGTTCCGCTCTGCAGTGGGCCTGCCGGACTATATGATTGGGGGGAGTCTGGATGAGCTTCGCGATCCATCTGGATCTGATGGCGAGGAAGGAAAAAAGCAGCAGCCCACTGACTAACAGAAGGCCCATCCGAGGGGTACATATGGGCTAGTATGAGATAGGGCCCAATTAGATAGATATGAGGAATTTGGTATATAGCTGTAGTATAGCTCCATCTCCTCATGCCATGTGGGGTTTTTGGTATTGATGGTGATGATTCTGTTTTTGCATCTGGGTCTGGGAGCATATAATTCCACATCTACACTTTTTGAGAGCAACAATGTTCAATATACAAAAAAGAAAACTTCTTTTCCAGGTAGTTGAGAGATTGGAATGAGATGTCTAGCTAGCTTATCATCTAGAAGAATAATGTTTCCTTATTGTACAGTTTCTCTTTCTTTTGCCTTTTCTTGTAGGTTTTATGTCCAATTCATTGAATGTTTGCATCTGCTTCGAATACGATTCTTTTTTTGTTGCATCTAATTCTGTAATTAGAAGAGAATGGACAAGAAGCTTTTGGAAAATTAATAATAAGAAGAAGAGCGAGGTTTGGTTGGGAATTAGATGGTACACGGCAACTCTTCTGTCTTTATAAACTAACTAACTAATAGCAGGGGGATGATTAGTGATAATTGGAGTTGAATGTTTCAAATTTGTTTAATTTCCCTAAACATTATTATTGCTTTTCATTTGTTTTTAATAATAATGATAATGAAGTCTTACTCGAAGACTTTGTCGCTCATTTGTTGTTGGTGAGCAGGGGAAATTAAGGGGAACCCAACCTCTCAATTGTAAAATATACATATAGGGATAACAAATGATATCATAACGTGCAAGCTTTTTTATTTATAAAAAGGGTATAATGAGCTTGAACTGAAGATGTTTTTTTCCCCTTTTTCGGTCTGAACGCACTGGTTGTATGCTTTTTCAGTTAAACTTTTTGCGCCGTGGAATATGGAAATGTCACATTTTTTTTCTTCTTCCATGACTTATTAATTTTTTGTTTCCAACCAAAAAATATTCTTCTGTTTCCGTTTGATTTGCAGGAGTCAAGTGTCCATCCTATGAACACTTCCGTCCCTACTGTTAGAAGGAAAACTTCTCCTAGTCACCAACAGGACAAAAAACTTGAATATAATAATTCTTTGCTTTCATGGATTTTTCAGATATTTGTGTGCGTTATAAGATAAATTCGAACAAGTTGTAAACTGGAAATTGTGAATTGTTCATTTTAACAAGTTTTTATGTACTTTATGAGAGTTGTGATAGAGTTGCTCATATGTATAAAATTGAGATGAATATAACGCTTTATTCTATTAAAGTTTTTGGAGCATATTGAGATTGGTGTCACTCCCAGATAGGATTAGGAAGGCAAGAGGCCATCGCTGGATAAAAGAAAATGGAAATTTAGTTTGGTTTGGTTGACAAGAGATGGTATGAAAGGGAATTGCAGCCTAATAGGTCTTTCTGTCATATTTACACTTTATAGTATTCGCGTTCATATTAAAACATCAAGTTTTTCTAATAAAAAAAACATAGAAACAAACAGTCTCTTCTTTGATTTTCTTGGTATCATTTTCTTCATAAACGCCAAAATATGGTTGAAACTTGAAGCCCAGAAAAGGAAGGAAGGGCTCCTTTGTATATATTTGTACGTAACCCACTTGGTTAGATTAGAGAAACGCTCCCAACTTTTATCGTTGATCACTTAAGCCTTTTTTGTAGTGTGTACAACTGTACATATACATAAAGACAAACGATCGAGTACGTACAAAAACAAAAGTTGATTAGTAGTCTGTCAAGAATTTTACACAACCTGCTCAGCTTTGTTAACTCCTTAATTAATTACTGATAAATAAAATCTTACCTCTTACCAAGTCTCCATCAAAGTGCGAAGTTCAAACTCCCACATCGTTTATCCTACTAAGATTTCGTTGCAGTAAAGGGTTTGAAGCGTAGATTTATCAAAATTTTCATAATAAGAGAGTATCTACATCTTCATTTATGAAATTATTTTTTCCTATTTTATCCATTTGTTTACTTATTCCACTAAATATAAAATAAATTATCAATATTTTTTTGAGCCCCTCTGATTTTTTTTATTGAATGTAAACAATCGCAATTACCAAACAATTATACTTTTAAATTTTTTACCAACAATTGGTATTAGCTAGAATCTTTTAATTGTTTGTAATCTAAAGATTTAGACTTCAGTTTCCCAGCCTAAGAGATTAGGTAATTTAAGTTCGTGATTCTGAACTTTAAATTCAAAATTCCAAACCCTCATTTTCTGCCTTCTCCATTCATATTGAGGGCTGATAAAATAGTGAAAATGTCATCATAGTTATCATCACTGCCAGCTTAATTTCGTTGTGATTTGGCTGATTAATTAGGTATATCTAATACGAAACAGAACAAACTTGGATATGGTTAGATTTGTACATCTTTTATAATAATTTGATTAATTTCTTTCCGATATACATGTGATTATGATATGATCACATACATAATAATTTCTAAGCGGAGAATTCAAAGAGAGCGAGGGAGGAAGGAGGGGGGCAAAAAGGGGAATCAATAATTAGTAAGAAACCAAAACTAGCTAATTTACACACGGTTGACCACCTGAGTCGCACCGCCGCCGCTTGATCGGGAAAACATCCCGAAACCCACCAGCCGCCGCCGCCAATTGCCACTCCTCCACCACCGCCTGAAACGGATGATGAACCCCGCCGGCGGGAGGACTGATCCGGGCGCCGGGGGGCTTGTTCTTGCGGCGGCCGGCGCCGACGGGAACGTTGCGGAGGGCCCCGCCGGCGGTCCAGTAGCGCTGGCAGCCTTTGCAGAAGTGGCGGGGCTGGTTGACATTGTAGTTGTTGAAGTAGCAGAATTTGGTCTCGAGGCTCTTGCACCTAGGGCACGGGATTATCTTGTCTGGCTTCTTGTCCAAGCTCGGCGAATCGCCGTCGCCGTCGCTGCCGCCGTCATCGTGATCCTCCTTTTCGTCGCCGACGTGATGGCTCTCTTCCTTGATGGTTGCTTTTACCGCCGGCACGGCGATGGTCTTTCCAAACAACTTGATCCCCTCTTCTTGGCTAGCCATGTGTTTTGTTGTTTCCTTTTGGAGTTGGGGTTTGGTTATATGGTTTTGTACATGGAAGAGCAAATGGAAGGAAGAGTGAGATGTGTATATATATAGTGAGAGGGAAAAAGGTTGTGTGGAAAGGAGGGAGGAGTAGTTTAAGAACATAAGGAGGAGGGAGTTAGCTTTGTTTTATTCTTTTATTTTGAAAATAAGAAATGTATATTGTTTTGATATTACTAATATTAAGGAAGTAAGGATTTTATTTCTTATTTAATTTATTGAGAAGGGTTCATGACTAGTTGTTACTTGTTATACAATTTTCTTATAGCTTCCATGATTCAAGCTCAAAATTTATAAAGAAAATTTTATATGTGATGTTTTGAAAAATTGTATTATATATTAAATCGATCAGGTCTCAAATTTAAACCTTCTATCTATTCATGAATGAGACCCATTATCATAGGTTCTAGGCTAGCTTCATACCCTACAAAATTTATGAAATCGACGAATTTATATTTCTAATTGTACTAATAAGTGCTACAAAATTCCCTCAAATTAATATGTGGCGAGAATTAAATTTGGAAAACACAGTTGCATCTCCTACCCCGTGAATCACTCATCGATGAAACAACTTAACATTTAATGGTTAGACTCAAAATTTGACGGATTGTGTGAACGAGGTAGTGATTGAGTGGTAATGCTGATGGTTTTCAGAATGAAACTCCCCCTCATCCACTTCTTTAGTAGCACTTTGTTACAGATTTCTGTAAAAAAAGTAAGATAAATTATGATCGACAGTCTCACGAAAAAATGATTGATAGGGGTTTCTCTTCTTTTACATGATGATTGATAGGGTTTGGTTCGGTAAAGTGCTTCTAAGGTTTCTTTTTTCTCCCTTTGTTTGGGGAGAGATAAGCCGCCAGGGAGAAGGGAAACCGGAAAAAGGAGTAGGTGGCGTGGAAAAGCTGATGATTGAGCTTTTCTTGTCCACATCATTACTCTACTCCACGACGCTCAAAAAAAAAAAAGAAAAATTACTCTACTCCACATCATCATCGTCCTCTTCTTTAAACTATTATTAACAATAGCCATTCTCCCCTCTTCCTCTTCCTGCAGTTTTGGCTTTGTTGTTTTGCTTCATTAGCAAGGGATATTGGGTAAAAGTCTAATCCGTGGGCTCCATTTTCTACGTGTATGTCGCGTTACAAAGTGTCAAAGGGCACTTGGAGTATCGCAAAAGGGGAAATGGGGAAAAGGTTAGGAAAGGAATAAGGAAGAGAACAACATCTACACACTGCCCTTAGCTAAGCTAGCTGGTTTATACACTGTTCTTTTTTTTTGGTTTGGGTTAGAATCAAAGTAGAACCTTGTGCAGTTGTGCTCACACTTTTCCCTTTCCGACACTGTTGCACTCAACTGATACCCTCAAAGTTGTGAGTTCTACTAGTACCACTTACTTATTACAAGAGCGATTTCGTTGTTCATTCAGACTTGATTATAAATTTTTCTTTTCAATTTAGATGTTTTGTACTTATAAGAAAGGACGACCTCTAGAAGGAAAAGTATGAAGTGTAGACACCACATTTTGTCCGGGCAATTTACTAATTCGAACTACTGATTAAGAGTAGTTGAGTATTCGGTATGTTTTAAATTGACAATAGTCACTCGTAAACATCTCTATATATGATTAACATTTAGTAAAACTAAGGATGCTGAGACATCAGAGTTTGTTTTGGACATGGGTCGAGTTGTTAAAATTTGGGCGATTAAACAAATTTAGCGATAGCTAACTCTATTTGCTAAAAAATAAAAATTGATTAGTGGATTTGGGACTTAACTTCGAGAACAATTAAAGATAAGGAAATAAGTAATGGTCTTATTAAAATAAATTACAATTTACAAACACATTACTAAATAAAATTACAAAACTACAAATACAACATTGTTAAGCCCAAGTCAATGATAATTATATACAAATAAGATTCAACGATAAAATAAAGTCAACTCTGAAAGTCATACCCAAAATCAATTGTTCTAATTCAATCAAACCGGTTGAACCCAGCCTGAACCAACTCGACCCATACCATCTGAACCAAGCCGGTTCGATCCAACCCAATCTACAACCTACTTACCACTAGAGGGCGGCTCCTACATACCCTCAAAGCCAATTACATGGTGCCACCTCTGCAGTTTTTTACTATAAAAAGAGCCCTTCAGCTCTTGGGAAAAGAGGAGGAAAAAAAACATTCCCTGAACCCTCCTTCTG